GAATTTTTCGTGCATATAATCCGAGCCTTAGTGATAAAAACATCCCAAGGGGTGTAATGAATCGTTTCAGCTTATTATCATTGAAAAGGTAGTGTGGCGGTAACAAAATGAAATAATCAGATTAAGAGTTGATTAAGATGATAATCGCGTCGTAATCACAGCAGACCGAAGTGAGTTTGAGGGGTGTCTCATTTAAATTCAGCTCCGGGCCTGAATTTCCTACATAATCGCATGATTTACTCTGTCTGTAATTAATTTCAGCACGAGGCGATCAAATATGAAAAAATATCATCACGAAGACGAACAATGAACTGGGAAAAAGTGACTTTTTTCCTCAATATGGAAATTCAAGGAATTGTAATTGAGATGTAACAATGAAATCAAGAGGAAAATTATACTTGACAGCCAAGGATTGACGCTCAAGTGGATAATTGCAATTTTAATATTGGATAAATTTATTGTTTTGTTGTAATTTATGTAATGATTTTTTTGCAAAGTCGAAATTGACCTCAACACTTGAATTACCTTGCGTGGTCTTGTCCTAGGTCTTGCCCAACCTTGACTCGTCTCAATTTATAACGAAAATAGCAATTGTTAAAAATAAAACTATTAATTTTCATTTTGAGCAATTATTTCACCGGTGTTTATGTTTGTTGTCTTGTGATTCAATAAACTATAATTATGTGGAGTAAGCACTGTGCAGGGTCAATGTTAGAGGTCTTGAACTTTAATTTTCATGCAGACCGTAAACAAATCCAAATTAACTCACTGAAAAAATCGAATTCTTTCAGCCTGAAAACTTTAATTTTCCTAAATTACTAAAATATTTTTGTTTGTTTGTTGAAGTTCTGTAGGGGCAACGAGACAATATCAAGAATATTCTAATTTAATCATTTTGAAAAATATTTCCTTTTGTTATCTTTTTTAAAGTTTCACAAAATTCTGAAACAGTAACAAAATATTTTAAAATAGAATAAGAAGAACGCAAAAAATAAAGTAACTCCGTTAATTAATTCAGATGAAATTCATGTTTGCAAAAATTGGTTTTTCAACATTGGCGAATTTTTAAATAATATTTTAGAACGTCAAAAGAAATTTTTATTAAAACTTGGGAACTTTTCTGGCAAAAATCAATCAAATTTTGTATTTTTAAAGCAGATAATTTATTGATATAAATAAAACTTTGTACGACATATTAATAAATCGCTTACTGAAAAAAGAAAAATCTTGTTATTGAATCTCAGATCATAATTTTAATAGCAATAAAAATGCAAAGTGGGCTAAAAAAATTAAAAAAAGCCAGAGAAGACGAGAAACGATTAGTTTATTTGTTTGAAACTAGATAAAATTGTTGTTTTTAAGGTAGATATGTAATTTGAAAATTGTTGTGGGACAACGAAACAGTATCAAGAATGTTTTTAAATTTAAGTTACTTCTAATCGTTTTGAAATATTTCTTTTTGTAATCTGTTTTAAATTTTTACAAAATTTTGAAACAGTAACAAAATATTTTAAAATACAATAAGAAGAACGCAAA